GTATTGGGTCCCCCATGTTGGGTGCATAAATATTTATAATTATTATATCTTCTTGTTTTGTTTTTCCTTTTATGATTATATAGTGTCCTTCTTTTTCTCTTGTTACAGTCTTTGTTTTAAAGTCTATTTTGTCCATTATAAATATTGCTACCATGGCTTTCTTTTCACTTCCAGTTGCATGATAAATGCTTTTCCATCCCCTCACTTTCAATCTGCATGTGTCTTTTTTTTTTTTTTTTTTTTTTTTAAGTAAACTCTACCCCAATGTGGGGTTTGAGCTCAACCCTGAGATCAAGAGTCTCATACTTTACTGACTGAGCTAGGCAGGCTTCTCAATCTGCGTGTGTCTTTAGGTCTGAAATGAGTCTCTTACAGGCAGCATATAGATGGATGTTGCTTTTTTTGTTTGTTTGTTTTTTAAGATTTTATCTATTTACCTGACAGACAGAGATCACAAGTAGGCAGAGAGACCCACAGAGAGAGAGAGAGGAAGGGAAGCAGGCTCCCTGCTGAGCAGAGAGCCTGTTGTAGGGCTTGATCCCAGAACCCTGAGATCATGACCTGAGCCGAAAGCAGAGGCTTTAACCCACTGAGCCACCCAGGCGCCCCTGGATGTTGCTTTTCTATCCATTTTTTTACTCTTGTCTTTTGACTAGAGTATGTAATACATTTATTCAAAGTAATTATTGATAGGTTTATACTTATTGCCATTCATCACTTATGGTAAGGCTGTTTTGGGATTCTGTTTCTTCTCTTCCTCTTTTCTCTCACAGTTTGTTGGTTTTCTTTAGTGATATACTTGGATTCCTTTTTCTTTTTCCTTTTGCATAACTATAACTGGTTTTTGATTTGTGGTTACATTGGGCTTGTATATGACATCTTATGCATATAACAGTCTAAATTAAGTTGATGGTTGCTTAACTTTGAATCCATTCTTTGCTCTTCTCCTCCCATGTTATAGGTATGCGGTGTCATGCTTTACATCTTTTGTGAACCCCTTGACTGATTTTTACAGATATATTTATTTTCACAGCTTTTGTGCTTCCTACTTTTCTTACTCCTACTTACGGTCTTTCGCTTTCACACAGAGTCCCCTTTAACATTCCTGTTGGGCTGGTTTAGTGGTCATGACTTCGTTGAACTTTTGTCTGTCTGGGAAACTGTCTCCCTCTATTTTGAATGATTGCTTTGCTGGATACAGTATTCTTGGCTACAGGTTTTTTCTTTCAGCGCTTTGAGTATATTCTGACCTGCAAAGTTTGTGCTGAAAATCTGCTGAAAGCCTCCCCTTGTGTGTAACTTTTCTGTTGCTTCATTTAAAATTTTTTCTTAATAACTACTTTTTGGTTGGTGTGTGTTTTGGTGTGACTTCCCTTAGTTTGATTTTGTTGGGGGAATCTGTGTACATCCTGGATCTGGGTTTCTGTGGAGGTTTTTTGTTTTTTGTTTTTTGGTTTTTTTTCCCCCTAGATTTAGAAATTTTGGGCTATTATTTTTTCAAGTAAATTTTCTAACCCTTTTTCTTTCTCTTCTTCTTCTGGGATCCCTGTAATGTGAATGTTGTTATGCTTGATGGTATTTCTGAGTTCCCTAAGTCTATTTTCATATTTATTATTATTTTTTCTTTCTCTTATTTAGCTTGATTGGTTTCCATTATTCTCTCTTCCAGGTCATGACTGTTTATTCCATCTCGTGTGTTTTCTATTTCAGTTTGAGTTCTTCATCTTTGATTGGCTTTATTTTATGCTTTCCATCCCTTCGTTAAGGGCCTTACTGAGATTCTCTAGTCTTTTCTTAAGTCCAGTGAGTTATCTTTATGACCATTACTTTACATTTTCTACCAGTTTTATTTATCTACCAGTATTTCTACCAGTTTTACTTATCTCCAGTTTACTTAGTTCTCTTGCTATGATTTTGTCCTTTTCTTTCATTTGGGACATATTCATCTGTTTGCTCATTTTGTCTCTCTGTGTCTGTTTTCATCTGTTAGAAAAGTCAGTTATGTCTTTTGTTCTTGAAAGTAGTGGCCTTAATGAAGAGCAGGTCCTGTCGTGTGCTGCAATGCAATGTCCCCTGTTCATCAGAACTTGGCACTTCAGGCATGGCTCCTCTGAGTGTTGCGTGTGTCCTGCTCTTGTGGCTGAGCCATGTTTGCCTTCATTCCAGTCATCTGCGATGGCTCTCTTTGCCTGTTGTGGGCAGGGTTGGGTCTCTGTGTTGTTAGTGGGCCAGTCTGGGGACACTTTGGGCTTAAGTTGAGTCAGACCAGATGTTTACTAGAGATGCAGTAGCACCTAACTGTAGCTGATTGTGGGGGCAGGGTGCTTGGTGCCAGCAAGGTCCAAGTTGAGAGGACTGGACCTCCAGCACCAGAGACTGAGGAAGGTTGTGTTGGAAGGGTCAGATCTGCAGAAGTGCTCTGGGTGGGGATGCATAGTGTTAGCCAGATTTGTGTGGGTCTGTTGTGGGAGGAGACCTGGATTAGAGGTGTGGATGGAGGGGGCATGTCAGCAGGAGAACAGGGCGGCAGGGTGCACTGTTAGCAGGTTAGGTAGCAAGTGTTGGTGCTGCTCTGGTTCCCAAAGGTGTTGGTTTGTTTATACTGCGGGTGAGGCCTGCAAATGGTGCCTGCCAATAATTTTGTTCCTAAGAAGTCTCCCAAAGATCCCTGCCTCTCCAGCATATGGTCTGAGATTTGTTGATTCAAACAAACCGTCCTCTCGTACACCCCAGGCATTTTTCAAACTGCTGCTTCTGTGCTGTATCTGCATGGAGGCTGTTTGTTTTGCTGTCTCTTTAATCGGGAGACTCAGTTTCTCTTGCCCTTCTGATTCCCTCCTGTCTCTCCCTCCTGTCTCTCCCATGAGCCTGCTGATTTTTAAAGTTCCAGGTGCCAAGCCTTGCTGATTGTAAGAACTCCTGAAATTCAGCTTCCCTGGTTTTCAAAGCCGAATGTTATGGGGATTGGTCTTCCCTGTGTGGGCTCCCTGGTTTGAGGGTCTTGTTTCTCTCCACTTTCTGTGCCCATGGTGCCCGTCCCTTCTCTGGACAGCCCTGCAGATCCATTTAGCTCCCAGCCATATCTCTGTCCTTCCGGTAGGGCTTTTTCTCTACATTTGGTTGTGGAGAGTCTGTTCTGCCAGCCTTTGGGCCATTTTCTGGGCTGCTGTTACCTAGCTGTGTTCCTGGGATGAGGTGGCTTATGGTCCTCTTACTTTGCCATCTTCCCCAGAAGTCTCCTCATGTTATGATGTTGTTATTTTTGTGCACGTCTCTTAGTACACATGTGCAGGAGTTTCTCTAGGGCATATTCCCAGAAGTGGAATTACTGCCTCATTGATCTGTGTATGCCCAGCTCATTGAATTATGCCATATTTTTTTCCAAAGTGGTATTCCAATTCATACTCTTATTTACTATGTGTAAAATTTACCCTTACTTAACATTTTCAGCGATCCCAGACTTTTTCTAAAAAGTTGCCAATCCGATGTATGTAAAACATTGCTACTTAAATGATTGGATCTAGAAACTGTTACCTTCCACAATTTAATCAAAGCACTGCTTGCTTTACTGAAGAAGTCTTGTGAAAAAAATATTGTCAGCTGTAGTGAATAATATACTTAGTGATGTGGTTGATTTACATATTGGTGTAATTTTAATTTACAGGCCAACAGACTACTCTTTAAATAGCACTGTAGAATGATATTTTATTGCAGTTTAATATTTACCTGATTACTAATAAGATTGTGCATTTTCCCATACATTCATGTATCATTTGTATTTTCTTTTAAATTAGAAGCTTGTTCATCTCTTTTGTTTATTTTTTGGATTTATCTTATATATTCTGGATAATAATCCTTTGTTATATAGGTTGCTATTCTGTTCTCCCAGTTTTTGGCTTGTCTTTCACTTTCTTTAATAGATGTTCTTCACACTAATAAGTTACTTTTTGGCTAGTGCTTTTGGGTTTTGTTTGTGAAATTGTTCCCTCCCAAACAGTCAGAAAAGACATTTTCCATTCTGAAAACCTTTAGTTTTGCCATTCACATGTAAATCCTTAGTCCACCTAGATTTGAGTGTGTGTGGTGTGAGATAGGGATCTAAACATGCTCTTTTCCCTATGGATAATCCCTTTCCTTAACACCACTTAATTGAATTATTTGCACAGTGATTTGTAATAACATTTGTCACATTTCAGATATCCACATGTGTATGGGTTTGTTGCTGGGCTGTTTTTGTTTTATCAGTTTGTCTTTCCATACTTGTGGCAATAGCCAAGTGTCTTAATTACCATAGCTTCAAAACAAGTTGCTATCTGGTAAGGCAATTCCCTCCACTTTGCTGTTCTTCAGGAGTACCTTAGGCAGCTCTGGAATAAAATTTAAATTATTAAAAAGGAATTCAGGTTACATATATGTATTCCATAATAGTAGAGCTAACATACTCTGTTGAACCTGAACTGGATTAAGGTAAAAATAAGTGAGAACATGGGTGCCTGATAGACTCAGTTGGTAGAGCATGTGACTTTCGACCTTGGGGTTGTAAGTTTAAGTCCCACGTTGGGTGTAGAGATTACTTAAAAATAAAATCTAAAAGAAAATAAATGAAGACAGAATTTTTCAGTTAGTTGTTTAATTGGCTGTAGTTTCAAGAATTGCACTTTCTACTCTTACACTTTTTTGTTTTTAAGATTTATTTATTTATTTGAGAGAGAAAGAGCATAAGTGGGAGGGGCAGAGCGTGAGGGAGAGTATCCCAAGCCGACTCCACACTGAGCACGGAGTCAGATGCTGGACTTGATCCCTTGATCCTGAGATCACGATCTGAGCTGAAACCAAGAGTTGGATGCTTAACTCACTGGGCCACCCAGGCACCGCTGCTGTTATACTTTTTAAAGAATGGTTGAGAGTGACTATTTTTGTTTTGGAAAAAATTCATTAAGGATGTAAAATTATGGATGTAATGGTTAATATTAATATTTTACATTTTTTTTTCTTTCAAGTCTTGATACATCATCAAAAGCATAGTCTTTTCAAGATGGCTTATCAGACACCTCTTTATCCTTGTTCTATATGTGTTCAGGGGCCCAGCAGACATTTTGCTGCTGCTACAAAGTAAGTATTTTTTAAAATTAATTTTCTTTGCTTTCATTTAAAATTTTGATGAAAAAACATTATGCTTTGTCTCTTAAAGATGTACATGGACATACAATTGTGCAAGTTTATTATCTCTGCTTTTTGGACCTTTTGTAATTCTAAAGGAAAATATGACTTACTATAGTAATACTTAACATTTATTGAACACTGACATATTCAATGACTAATTTAGTCTCTCCACGCTATTTTATGTGGAAGCTGTTGTTATTATGTTCTTTTTTTTGAGTTGAAAAGCATGACATTGAAACATTAACTTGCCTAGGTACACAGGGTAGTAAGTGTTGGAGCTAGGGCTTTGTGACATAATAAGTATTTGTACTGGTCTCTGCTTCCAGTTCCTGATAGAGAGCTCCTAAAACTCCTATAATCTTCTGAGGGATAGGGATGCTAGGAGCATCTGTTATTCTAACATTTGGTCTTTGACCCAGTTCCTGATACAGAGCTCCTAAAACCCTTGTAATTTTCTAGGTAACAGGAGCATCTTTTGTTTTAATAAGAAACTCTTGGTGGGCTCCTAGAGGGAGGCTGGTCACCAGAAAGACCAAGCCATGATTAGGAGCTTTCAGCTCCGCCCGTCATCCAGAGAAGAGACAGGAGCTAGAGATTGAGTTCACAATTGATCATGCCTCCATAACATTCCCTGTCCGGTGAGGTTCTAAAAGTTTCTGGATTGGTGAGCGTATATATGTGCCCAAAGTATGGTACACCCAGACCCAACGGGGACAGAAACTCTGTACTCCAGACTCTTCTGGACCTTGCCCTATGTACCTATTCATCTGTATCCTTTATCGTATCTTTTATTATATAGTGAACTGGTAAATGTTAAGTAGGTGTTTCTCTGAGTTCTGTGAGTTATTCTGGCAAGTTACAAAGTCTGTGGAGGGGGTCACAGGACCCCTTGATTTGCAGCCACTGGGCCAGAGTTACCAGAGGCCTTGAATTGCAATTGGCATCTGAAGTGGGGGCGGCCTTAGGAACTCCGTCCTTAATTTGTGGGATCTGATGCTAAATCCAGATAGAGAGTATCAGAACTGTCTTCAGTTGTTGGATACTCAGCTTATATCAGGTAATTGGTTGGTGTGGGAAAAAAATCCACACATTTAATGTCAGAACTGTTGTTTCTTATTTAACTGTATACCCTGTTCTACATCTCGCTTGCTTGCTTTTTACTTAACAGTATATCTTGGGAGATTGTTTCGGAGGGAGCTCTCTAATTGTTTTTTTTTTAATTGAAATATAATTGGTATATATTAGTGTCAGATGTACAGTCTAATAATTCAGTATTTCTGCGTTTTGGGAAATGCTCACTATGGTAAGTCTGGTTAGTACCTATCACTGTATAGAGCTACAGTTTGTTTTCTTGTGATGAGAACTTTTGAAGACTTAACTTTTCAGTAATTTTCAGAGAGGCAATACAGTATTATTATTATAATTACAATACATAGTAGTCACTATGCTGTACATTACATCCCATGGTTAGTTTTACACCTGGAATTTTGTGCTCTTGACCACTTTCACCCATTTCACCCACCCCCACCACTGCCTCTGGTAAACACCAGTCTGTTCCGTGTATCTGTGAATTCTTTTTTTTTTTTTCCTTAAGTATTTCATGTATAAGTGAGATTGTATGGCATTTGTTATTCTCTGACTTATTTCACTTAGCATAGTGCCTTTAAGGTCCATCCATGCTGTCTCAAATGGCAAGATTTTGTTCTTTTTTTAATGACTGAATACTGTTTCATTGTATAAATGTACCATATTTTCTTTATCCATTGATTTGTTGATGGACACTTAGGGTTTTTTCCATGTTTTGGTATTGTAAATAATGCTACAGCGAGCATGCGCATGCACATAATATTTCCTTGTGTGGCTGTACCATAATTCATTAAACCACTTCCCTATTTCCCCCTATGGCCCATGTTTATCTTTTCAGTCTTTTGCTATAACATATGAATAATCATGTACATAGATCTTGTCAAAGATTAGAATGTATTTGTAGTATAAACTCTGAGAAATAGAATTTTTGAATCAAAAGATGTGTGCATTTGTAGTTTTGATTGGTAATAGGTAATAGTAAATTGCCTTTATAGAGATATTGCCAATTTATGTCCTCATCAGTGAATTGTATTAGAATGTATACTTTTCCATATACAGTATAGTTAAAGTTTTTGAACTTTGCCAGTTTGATAGGTAATAAATGGTATCATCAAATTTTAATTTATATTTTGTTATTATTGAGGTTGTATATCTTTTCATGTGTTTAAGAGCCATGTAATTTTGTTAACTGTCAGTTTTCCTCTCTATATTATTTCAGCTTTAGTATATGTATTGCTGAAGCGAGCACTGTTTATTGTGAATTTTTGTTCATGTTCTATTCCAGTTCTTTGTTGTTGACTAGTAAGAGTGCTTTCTATATAATAAATAAGCATATATTTGCATTATAACTTTATATTTTAACTGTTATGGTGGAGAAATGGACCAAGTGCTGTGGGATCACAGGTGAAATGTAAATTAATTGTGCCTGAAAGAGGGTATGATAAGAAGTATTTGAGCTGGGTCCTAAAAGGTGGACTTTTTCAGGGGGATTGAGAGAAAAGCATTTTAGTAATACAGAAGCATGAGAGTGAATGATGTGGACGAAATTCAGTCCTCCATGGCTTGAATATAGGACGGAGAGGGAGGCGGCAGAAATGTCAGTAGAAAGGAACCTTCCTTTGAGTGTGAAGAATATCCGGATTCTTTTTTTTTTTTAAGATTATGTTTATTTATTTGTTAGAGATCACAAGTAGGCAGAGAGGCAGGCACAGAGAGAGGAGGAACCAGGCTCCCTGCTGAGCAGAGAGCCCGATGTGGGGCTTGATCCCAGGACCCTGAGATCGTGACCTGGAGAGGCTTAACCCACTGAGCTATCCAGGTGCCCCTGGATTCTTTTTTGTTTTTGAGAAGTTGGAGGAGTATTGGTTGTACCAGTTTACATTCCCATTCCCATCCAGCAGTGAAACTTTGGATATCATCAGTCTTTATTTGTTTCTTCATCCTATTTCTAATTTATATCTTTTGCCTATTTTTCTGTTGGAATATTTATCTTTTTTCCTGATTTTTTTTTTTAAGATTTTATTTATTTATTTGACAGACAGAGATCACAAGTAGGCAGAGAGGCAGGGAGAGAGAGAGGAGGAAGCAGGCTCCCTGCTGAGCAGAGAGCCCGACGTGGGGCTCGATCCCAGCACCCTGGGATTATGACCTGAGCTGAAGGTAGAGGCTTTAACCCACTGAGCCACCCAGGCGCCCCTTTTTTCCTGATTTTTGAAAATATTTTTAGGGATACTCATTACTTTGAGAACATTTTATCTTTAAATGTTTGTTTTATTGAATAGAAATTTTTCATTTTCTGTCTTACCCATGTTCTGTTCCAGTGCAACTTTAAAAGCAATTTCACTTACCTAAAAAGGATAGTATAAGAAATATGCATACTTAAAAAAACCTGAAAAGTCATTTTACAATTTTTTTCATGTCTGACAATGAGAATTGTTCAGTAGCTTGATGAGAATGATAGTATTCATAATTTTAGTTGTGGCTTTAAATTTTTTAAAGATTATTTATTTATTTATTAGCAAGAGACAGTGTCCAGGCGTGCATGCATGCTGGGGGAAGGGACAGAAGGACAGGGGAGAGAGAATCCCAAGCAGACTCTGTGCTGAGTGTAGAGCCTGATGTGGGGCTTGATGTCATGATTCAGAGATCACAACGGGAGCTGAAACCAAGAGTCGGATGCTTAACCAACTGTGCCACCCAGGCGCCCCTGTAGTTTTAATTTTTTAATGTACTGACTTTATAATATACTAAAAAATACTTTTTTTTTAAAAGATTTATTTATTTATTTATTTATTTGACAGACAGAGATCACAAGTAGGCAGAGAGAGAGAGAGAGAGAGAGAGGAGGAAGCAGGCTCCCCGCTGAGCAGAGAGCCCGATGTGGGGCTCGATCCCAGCACCCTGGGACCAAGACCCGAGCCGAAGGCAGAGGCTTTAACCCACTGAGCCACCCCGGCGCCCTAAAAAATACTTTTTATATGACAAATTTTTTTTTTTTATCAGGATCTGAGACAGGGTAGAGAGGCTTGTCTTTTTTTCTTTCTTTCTTTCTTTCTTTTTTTTTTTTTAAAGATTTCATTTGACAGAGAGAGAGAGACAGTGAGAGCAGGAACTCAAACAGAAGTGGGAGAGGGAGAAGCAGGCTTCTTGCTGAGCAGGGAGCCCAATGCGGGGCCTGATCCTAGGACCCTGGGATTACAACCTGAGCCAAAGGCAGACGCTTAATGACGGAGCCACCCAGGCGCCCTGAGAGAGGCTTGTTCTTTTTTCTCTCTTCTCTCTTGTCAGTTTGAATCTCTTCATTTGTCCATCTGTGTGCACATACTCATGGTTTGCCAGTGGCTGATACTGATTAAGAAAAAGTCCACTTTAGTCATCTCTGACTTTGGTTCTGTTTCTCTGTTAATAACAGGTTGATGTATCTCAGAATTTTGTATTGACTGCCCGATGTTTTGTGTAGAACAGTTGAAACCAAAGTACCTAGTATTTATGCCCGGGAATGCACATGCCTGTTGTCACAGTGTTGAATCAGTCCAGTCAGAAGTCGAACTGGGTTTTGTTGTTGCTATGGTTACCACCAGCTTCAAATTTCTGCACTTTACCTTGTGCGTAGGATGGGGGCTGGGTTGCTTGCAAGGTTTTTCTCAGCGTTTTTGTTTTATGTTCTGTTTTCTGCCTTGCCCATGCAGCTGTGCCTTGGGTGTGTGTGTGTGTGTGTGTGTGTGTGTGTGTGTGTGTGTGTGTCTATACTCTTTCTCCTTCCCTAGTGTGGATTGTTGTTGCTTATTAGTGCTTGCTAGTCTGGAGATGGGTGCAGGAGAGATTCTCTGTTTTCCAAACCAGCTTTATCTTACGTGGGCCCA